CATACAGCACAATTTTTCATATCTCTGGTTGTATATAAAGTATGTTGACACCATTTGTGACAGGGTCTTACTGCGTTGCTTAGGCCTCGCCAAGTTGCTGAGGCTGACTTTGAGCTCTCGATTCTCCTACCTCTGCCTCTCGAGCCTCTGGGGTTACAGGTGTGCACACCACCATGCTTGGGAACTTCTTTCCATCTTTACTGACACTTCCTTTTCGATGTTGCTATTATCTTCAATAGAAAAATTTATGAATGACTGTATATGGTTATCCTATCTGACTGAGCCATCTGAGTTATCTCTGCCTTTCATTGTTTTTGAACAACATCACAACTCTGTAGATTGTAGAAAATAGATACTAATGCAGAAGATTCTTATCCATATAATGCAAGGTGGCTGAAATGCAAATGATTATTGCCCCTTGGATAGACCAGTTTTTGCATCTTTTGTAAATTTATTTCAGTTTTCCTTTTTTGACTGGGTGCATGTGGTCCTTTGAGTTGTCCTTGAACTGTTGATAACACCTTAGTGGTTTCCTCCTTGATTAATGAGTTAAGTAATGTCTTTGACATAGGCTGATGTTACACTTTTTGGAGAGCTATGACTTGACCTTTTTTGGAAAATTATCTTCAAACCCTCAGACCACACTGTGATCATCTGCTAACTAGTTCTTCCTTTCCACATTTTACCTTTTCATCCTCCTTTTCTAGTTTAGGCAGAGTAGTTGGAGTGATCTCAAAGGGAAAAGCTAATCACCTCTTTTTCTTCTGCAGGATCTTTCATTGCCTGCTCATTGTTCTTCTTTTAAAAAGAAACTTTGAAAGCTGAAATTGTATGTACTTAAGACAATACAGTGTGATGTCTTCATCTTCATTGGCTGTTAACACCCTAAATACATGCCTGATCTACACCTGACTTGATTTTGCTTTATTCTTGCTCCTTCATGATGTGTTTGCACATGATCTGTGCTGCAGCCCGAGGACCATCCCTGGCCTTTGAGCATGCTTCTTCCTCCAACTTCCTCTTTTCTTGGCCAACTCCTGGTCCTTCTTTTTGCCTAAGCTTAAATGTCACTTCCTCAAGGATATCTTTTCTGAGCTCACACACTGGTAGATAATGCTCAGGAGTCTCAGAGTGTTATCTTTTGATGCACTTAATAGTTATAATTTAAATAATTGCAGGTTTCTTCCCCCAGAGAGTGGGACTGTTTTGTTTATTGGTATAACTTTTGGTATTTAGTAAATACCCAGTGAGTATTTATCAGCTTAATAAATCAATGAGTGACATTGACATAAACATACATTTAAAATGTCTAGTAATATATAAACCACCTGAGGATGGTTGTATTGGAAAGAGACAGAATTTATTAAGTAACTGGATTTAATATGTGCCATTCTTTTTCAGTTAGGTATGATTCTTCGAGACCTACTAAATTCATAGTAAAAAAAATGAGGATTAAAGCTTAACAACTGGATTAGTTCATCCTTTGATAAAAGATTTGAAAAAGGCCTTGAGAATATTGAATAATATAGGTCTAACATCATCTTTTGATTTTTAGCAGTATCTGGATACCCATCTGTAGAAATTCAAATCCTCATTAATATGTCACAGAGTGCATATCACAATGCACTGGAGTGCATTCAAACTCACGATGCTTCAGAGTTTGAATTTCCTGGGAAGTAGTACAGAATAGAGTAAATTATGGTTTGGGGAGTTTGAAAAGTTATGAAGAACTCAGAAGAAAATTATTATTTAAAGAAGAAAAGAGTTAGGAAATTTAACCCTTATTTGTGGACATGCTGCTCATTTATTTATGTCCTCAAGCTAAATGTTAGCCACATTTTTCAGGTCTTTATTTTTATTCTTTT